AGCGTTCTAGAATGACACACGTCGGCAGTGTGTGGGACGATTAAGGGTATGTTTCAGGCGTCCTAGCTATAACCGCTGTGATTAACCCAGAAAAGGTAGGACCGGCGCCACCAAGAAAGGAGGTAAGGAAGTGAGACTGGAGTTAAGGAAAATGCAGATATGTTTTCCCTTTTCAAGCAAGGACTGTGTTTCTGTTTTTAGGTATGTGGGTGAAGGAAATACAATGATAGGGACTTTCAGGAATTTGAAGGGTATTCATTACATTGCCACTTTGACATCCTATGTGGCTTTATCAACTTTCCTAAATCCTTCACGTTCTTCTACTGGTGAAATATCATTATTTATTTCCTACATTCTCCTAATGCAGTGGTTCTCAACCTTCCTGATGCCGTGGCTCTTGAATATAGTTCCCCATGTTGTATGTGGGTGTATCTGCATGTGGGCGGACCCCCTGGAGACGGATAGAGGAGCGGTGTCTGGTTCCTGAGACCATCGGAAATTTGTGTTTCCTGATGGTCTTAGGCGACCTCTGTGAAAGGGTCATTCGACCCCCAAAGGGATCGCGACCCACAGGTGGAGAACTGCTGTTCTAATGAATGTTGTGAGTTTGTTATAAACAACTATTTAAGTTTAAAATGGTCTCTGAACAATAAGAAATTGTGACCATAATGCCTGTTATTATGGCAAAGAAAAAGTTTCATTTGTGAACTTCACAACCTTTAATCGTCCATCTTTTAATCATAATCTTGGAAGAGTTGAAAATCAGAAAGACCATCTATCACCTCACAAATGAAATATTTAGCTCACTGTGTTTTGTTCTCTTTGCAAATCATTGACTATATTTAATTAAAAAGAAAATACGAAACTGCTTGACATTCTAGAGAAAATGGGTTACATCTCCTGCAGGCAGACAGGTCAAAACTGGCTGGTGTTTATTATGGATTTACCTCAATTTTATCTTTAATAAATCCAAGCATCTTAAAAAGCTAAAATGTAACTATTTAAAAAAATTAATGAAAAGATACAACTTTGACTTCACTATACACTCTTTTCCCGGGAAATTATGACAAGAATGAATAACGAATGAAATACAGTTTCAAACTTTTAGAAATAGATTTTCCAGCAAGGTAGTCCAGAAGTCCTGTCTTATCAGCTCTCAGGGAATTGTCCACTACTTTAAAAGGACAGATACTGGGGTCGGAGTAAATCATGGGAGTTTCAGTTTTAGGGCCGAAAATTTCACTGGAAAAATTTGATTCCTGGAAAAGGGTGGTGGACTGTTGGTTCGGTGAGTGAAAATGGGACGTGTCGTTATAGCTGGATAGGAACTTGAATACAGAATGTAAATACGGAGTTCGGTTGAAAAAGGGAGATAAACAGACGCGTCAATAAGCACTGGAGTCCCCCAGTTTAAAAATAAGACATATATAAACAAAATGTTTTTCACTTGAAGCACAAAAAAGCAAAAAAAAAAAAAAAAAGGAAATGTCACTTAAGGCAAAGACCACAGTAACAAAAGGAGTTCCTTTACTTAGTTCACTGCAAAACAATTTAATTTTGATTTCTACGCATCGGAAGATCCAAGAGAAGGAAAGGCAAAGTGTATTCAGAAGGGCAAGCAAGGAAGGAGTTTGAAGAGATTAAGATGTAGATCCTGCTTGCTGTAGAAGAAGTTGGTGCAACTACAGTGGAATGAACCAGTTAGTACAGGCAGCTCTACCATGTAAATGCTACTCAAACTGTATTGATAGTATGTGCAGTACCCCGAATTCCGGGAGAGCTGCCCCTTGCAGAGAGGGCTGACTAGCTCCTGGCACATGTCACTGCCTACCTACCTGGAGAAAAACTTGGAGAGCAATTCAGCCCCAAAGGAAAGACTGACAGCTTGGAAAGAGACTTGTGAATGATGCAAAGATGAACTTGCAGGTGCTTGAGATAAGCTTTGATTTAACAAAACAAAGCATCTATTCTGAACAGACTTTGGAAACACATCATCTTGAAGAATTTGGCTGATGGTTGAATGAAAGGACCTAATTGAATTAATTTATGCCCGGGTTTGTTTATTCTACTTCAATGGAATCAGAGCCAACACTCCTAAAAGTTTTCTGTTTGTTTGTTTTGGGACGAGGTAAGAAAGGAAAGGAGGCTGTAATCGCAGCCCTAAGGCAGGCAGAATAAGGCCCAGATCTGAGACTTGGAAAATGGTAGAATTAATAGGAGTTGGAACCTGATAGCAATTAGACTGAGCTGGGACAATCGAAAGAGATAAGATGTGGAGGAGGAAGATTAGAGTTAGAACATGCGAAATGTTAGATGCCTTTTTTGTTTTTCCTTTTTATTGACTATATTGGGGTGACCCTGGTTAACACAATTATACAGGATTCAGGTGCACAATTCCACAACACATCATCTGTACACTGTATTGTGTTCGCCACCCAAAGTCAAGTCTTGGTCCATCACTATTTCTCCCTCCACCTCCCCCCAAGCCCCACCCCCGCAACTACCACACTGATATCTGAGCCCGTGAACTTTTTCTTTTTTTCCTTTTTTGCTCAATTCCTTCACCTGCCCACCCAGCCCCCCAACTCCCAATCCTAAAAGTTTTAAATGACCTTTAATGCTTCCAGGAATTGAGTTTACCTATCTGTAGATAAACCAGTTTCTTTCTTTGTCTGTATTATATTAACTGAAATTGTTAATATCAAGGGTGGGGAACCTTTTTTCTGCCAAGGGTCATTTGGATATTTATAACATCATTCGAGGGCCATACAAAATTATCAACGTAAAAATTAGCCTGCTATATTTGTTCAAACTAGTTTGGTGAGGCATGTGATGTTAGCAGGTACCTGGGCCAGGTGTTCCCCACCCCCGAGTGAAGCTAAAATGGCCCCATTGTATAATTTAGTTTATTCTAAATTGTTTGACTTTCCCCAGAGATACTGTGCTGGTAAGTAGAAAAATAAAGTTTAGTGGTTTGATTCATTTTACATGGCATTAGTTACTCTTTATCATTCCAGTACAATAGAAGGTATATTAAATTATTCAGAATCTGAAAAAGCAGTCAATTTTTGCTATCCCTATTGTCTTATTTTTCTCACTATAATATTTTAGCAGAGTTAAAAAAAAAAAGAAATCAAAGCCTCTACTTACAAAAAAGAGAATCTTAAAATGTGTGAAGTACATGAACTTATGACCAATTATTAATTTTAAATAACATCACATTAATTTAAGAGCCGTTACGATCCATTCCAATATACTAAGAAGTTTTTCCTAATAATCTAAACCTCTATTGAACCATAGCCATTTATAGCAGGGGTCAGCAGCTATACCGTGTGGGCCTGGTTCAGTCTGCTATGGATTTTGTGTAGCCAGCCAAATGAGAGTGGTTTTCCTAAATGAACATCTGCGGTTTATACAATAGAGAATACTGACTTTGAACCCCAATAAGCAAAATGTTGACCCCCCCAAATAAAAAATTTCATTCTTGTTGGTACACCTGTATTACAAAATAAATTAAGTTCAATTATTATGCCAAAGAAATTGTATTTAATATTTCAATTTTAAATTTTATGATAAAAATTTTGTGGAAATGTGTTTTCTATTGTATATACATACTTGCATAACATCCTTGATTTTTGCCTCTTGGCATGCAAAGTCAAATATTTACTGCCTAGCCCTTTGCAGAAAGTGCGGCCTGTGATGTATTTTTTCTCATTCATTTATGTGTTTATTCACTCATGCATCCGTGCAGCAAATAGTTTCTGAGCACCTCCCATATACCAGACCGTGTTGGAGGCAGTAGGGACACCGTGGGGAACAAGATTTTCTAAAAATCCTGCCCTCGTGAAACATATTCAAATTATATATACACTATCACCTCACCTCTACCTGTCCTACATATGGGAAAACTGAGCTTCAAAGAACTTGTGCATCTCACCTGGAGTCTCGGTGCAATTAAGCCCAGTTGGGCCTGATTCCAAGGCTTGAGCTTTTTTTTTATTTTATTTTTTTTAATCCTCACCCGAGGACATTTTTCCATTTTTTGTTCAGATAGAGTGGGAGGGATAGAGAGAGAGAGAGAGAGAGAGAGAGAGAGAGAGAGAGAAAGAGAAACATTGACGTGAAAGGGACACATCGAGTGGCTGCCACCCGCAGGACCCAACCAGGGCTGGGGACAAACTGCAACCGAGGCACATGCCCTTAGCGGGAACCGAACCCGGGTCTCTCGGGACCACAGGCCGACGCTCTAACCGCTGAGCCAAACCGGCCAGGGCAAGGCTTGAGCTTTTAACCAGTGGGCTGGCTGGCTTCATGGCAGGGCGCCACGCTTGGCTTAATGTTCTTCTGTAACCGTCTTGAAATTCTTAATCATTTTTTGAACAATTTTTTTAATAATAAATTCATTTTGCCCTTAGCACTCCCTCTCCAAGTATGTCGTTGGGACCTCTACTAAGACAAAAATGCTTCTCTCTCAGACCACACTTCTGCCAAGCTGTGATTCTTTTTCCTTTTTTAAAACACCCACATGAACTCATCTGTGAAGAAGGCTTGGCACCTCTCAAACACTTCAGGAAAACCAGCTATTATTAATCTATTGTTTTATACCCCAGAGGGCTAGGATGCTCACAGTGATTTTTCGAAAGTCCCATTGTGCCTACAGCTCTTGTAAGAACACACTGACCACAGAATAAATATTTTGCACTGGCGTGAAATTCCATTAATATCTGAACTTTGGCAAGGGTAAGAGTTGGCTCTGTCTCGTCTTAATTTACTTCCATGAAAGAGAAAAAGCTTTATCGTCCACGCTTTCCTCTACTCTAGATGCATTTGTAAATTTTGAAACAGATGTTAGATGGAATTAAGCAGAACACAAGAACAGACCTGTTCTACTATAAGGAAATCCTTTGTCCATTGTCCAGCAATGGATGTCTTTGAAGGATACTCTGAGTTTACTGGGATTCAATGGATGCTTAATCTTCCTTTCTTTGGATTTCTTGCAGCCTAGTCATTGTTGGATAAGTGAAATGGTGGAACAATTATCAGTCAGCTTGACTGATCTTCTGGACAAGTTTTCAAATATTTCTGAAGGCTTGAGTAATTATTCTATCATAGACAAACTTGTGAAAATAGTGGATGACCTTGTGGAGTGCATGGAAGAACACCCATTCGAGGTAACCGTGTATTCATTGGGATAGGTTTCTACTATTCTTCTCTAAAACCTATGTTGATTGTGGTGGTGGGGGTGAGGGCATCTTTATTTGTGTGATTTTTAATGTATAAATTTGTAATTTAAAAACATTTTAACAAAATAAATGTTTGTGGTTATGCTGCAGTGTTGAAAATACACATTAAGACTTAAAAGCTGCCGTTTATGCCCTGGCCGGTTTCGCTCAGTGGTTAGAGCATTGATCCGCGGACCACTGAGTCCTGGGTTCAATTCCAGGCAAAGTCATGTACCTCAGTTGCGGTTCATTCCCAGGCCTAGTTTGGGTCATGTGGGAGGCAACCGGTCGATGGCTCTCTCTCACATCAATGTTTCTCTCTCGCTTCCTCTCTCTCCCTCTCACTCTATCTGAACAAAAATGGAAAAACATCCTCAGGTTAGGATTTTTTAAAAAGTTGCTATTCAATGTAAAAACTGATTTACAGAACAATGTAAAAACAGCCCTAACTTTATCTTCATTTCATAAGTGAATGAAATTCTCATAACTGTCCATTAGGTTACCAATGTTCATTTACCTTTCAATGGCAAATTGTCTACAATGAACACTTAAACTTGACCTCTATCCATAGTAATCATGTCATAACAAAGAAGAGCATTTTAACATCTCCAAGTCATTTTATGATTAGTTGTTACCAACTTCAGAATGTGGGCATGACCATGATTTGGGTTGTGAGCATATTAAAGGGACAGTACACCACTAGAGATTCAGTATGGTACAAGGTGTTGGCGTTCACATCCTGACTGGGTCACTAATTAGCTTTGTGAACCTGAGTCATGTTGACATCCGATGGTTTGTGATGAGTGCTTTAGCACTGCATCTGGCAAAAAATAAATGTTAATATTTTTACGATGATGACTTTATAACAATGTCTCTATAACAGAATAGGTCTTGGGAGATGTGCTGAGGCGTTGAGTTCACAAGCCAAAGTGTAGCCTGCAGGCGTTTTAGAAGTTTAAACATAAGGTTTTAAATATGATTCTGTATCATAGTATTCAAATACTTCCTCCTCATCGAAATCCCAGTTACACTTGAAGACCCAACATCAGTCCCATTTGTGTTCTCCAGTGTCTGAATTCCTGTCACACTGATCATCTAATCACTCCATTTATTTGCTTCTAATTCCTTAGTCAGAATGTATCCTACAATCAATGGCATCTTAGAGTTAACATCTCTTTTGATATCATGTTAGTATAAATAGTGTGCTGATGGCATGGATAAGAAGCAGAGGTCACAAAAAGTTGGGTGTATCAGACAGGGTTTCATGAAGGAAATAGTATCTGCATTGGAGCTTGTGAGGCGATTTAGGTGTTCAGTAAATGGTGATGTCAGGAGGAGCATTCCAGATGCCAAAGACGGTGCCTGTAGTGAACATGACACCTTGGCTGGCACCCAGGAGATTCAGGCCAGGTGGTATTTCACAGTTGTTTTGGAGATTGAGCAAATATATGTAGAGAATTTAAAGAAGTACATAGTAAGTGCCACTGAGTGTTAACTCTTATTATTGCCTGCTTTTCTTTATAGCTATGCATTTCTGAATTCCTAAAATATAGATATGCTTTGCTCGGGGGGGGGGTTAGAAATTAATCATACTCTTTATTCTTCTGTAACTCCTTTCACTCAGCGTTGTGTTTATAAGATTTATGCACTTTGATGCAGATAGCTGTGGTTCGTTTTCTGCTTATGTAGCATTCCATTGATTCACCATTCCACTGTTGATTAAACCACTCTCCTGTTGATTGACATGTTTATAAACGCAGCTGGTAAGATCTTTCTTGTGTGCCTCATGGTACATAAACGCAAAAGCTTCACTAGACTATTTACCTAGGAGTAGAATTTCTTGGTCACAGGATGGGCACATGTCCAATCTTACCAGGTAGTATTGAATGTACCAGTTTACATCATTCCATCAGTGTATAAGAGTCCCCTTAGCTCCATCCATGTCCATGTCAATATTTAGCATCAACAGACTTTTTAATTTTTAGCTATTAGGAGAATGTTAGGGAGAAGTTTTTGGTTTTTTAAAAAAAAAATTTTTTTCTTTATTGATTTTAGAGAGAGAGGAAGGGAGAGGGAGAGAGAGAGAGAAACATCAGTGAGAGAGAACATCGATTGGCCACCTCCTGCATGCCCCCCCACTGGGGATCAGACTCACAACTTGGGCATGTGGCCTGATTAGGAATTGAACTGGAGACCTTTTGGTGCATGGGTTGATGCTCAACCACTGAGCCACACTGGCCAGGCAATGGAGATATTTTTAGTAAAGAATAATGATTTTAATGAGCATCTTTAAAGAACAATGCCTCTAATTGGTTGTTAGGATTATTTCATTGTTCTGATGTTGTATTTACCTAATGACCACCCTACTCCTTTTATCTGGAGTTGAGCCTCAGACTGAGCTGGATGGGATCACTATCCTGCTGTACCAATGTGAATTATGTCTGTTAAAACAGTTGTCTAAGAGTGTTTGTTTTCCTGGAACCTTTGAAGGACGTTGTCTTTTGCTTTGACATCAGTTAAAATCTGTAGACTATCTGGAAAACATAATCCTGTTTTGTTTTTCTTCTTCCAGAATGTAAAAAAGTCATCTAAGAACCTAAAACTCGATTATTTTACTCCTGAACAATTCTTTAGAATTTTTAATAGATCCATTAATGCCTTCAAGGACTTGGAGATGGTGTCATCCAAAACTAGTGAATGTGTGGTTTCTTCAACATTAAGTCCTGAAAATGGTAAGACATCTAAGCATTTCTCATTTAAATGTAAAAAGCAAGCTTGATTCTTGTACATGTAGGTAAGAATCTACCTCTGAGTCAAATATATGTGTAGTTAGAGAATAATGTATGTGTATGTCAAATATAAAAACAAATATCAAGCATAAAAGAAATGAATGGCTGTAGATTTGTTTTTCAAGACAAAACAACACTCATGATTTTCAGATTAAAAGAATTGTGTGTGAGTGAACAATGAATAAGATAGTCACTCAAATTTTTCTTGTCTGCTGTTTGCCAGTAATTTACAATTATGTTATTCTTCACCTCCCATTTTCTTAATGTCCCCTTCTTAAAACTTGTCCTAAAGGGTTTAATTCTGAGGCATGAATTCTGATCTTCACTAGTTACTCTGTAGTGAGACTCTTTCTCTCCTATCCCCTTCCTCAGGGTCACTTTAATACAAAATCTTCATTAAATTTTTTTTTAATGACCAATTATGAACAATTTGCATTTTTTACATTATCAGCCTGTATAGGCAACGAATCTTTGTTCTATTAGGTGACTGGTGCATTTCTTAATAAAAATAGAACAGCAAGACCCAGTATGAAATCAATAGGATCTGAATCATCTAGATTGGGGAAGTGGACCTGAAAAGTTCTCTGGTATTGCACTCGGCCTTTTGGGGACTCTGTCATTTATGTCAATCGACGTGCAACACTGACACATTATTGCTTTCTATTTAGATTCCAGAGTCAGTGTCACAAAACCATTTATGTTACCCCCTGTTGCAGCCAACTCCCTTAGGAATGACAGCAGTAGCAGTAATAGTAAGTACATCCATCTGATTTAATGCATGCATGGCTCCAATTAGCACCTATAGGAGTATTGCATGGGCTTTCAAGGAAATTCTGCACTTATTGCTGTGAATGCTGTTCCATGACTGTTCTTCCTGTTATGGTCTTCCTGAGAATTAAGTCTGAGATTTGTAGACGTGGGTTTCCCTGCAGTTTGAGATAACGATGAGAGAATCGGGCCGATAAATTTCCCACTAAGATTGTTTTTAAAAAAGGCATGTACTTACTTTTAGAAATATGATTTAAGCTTTTCTCATTGTTACAGTTCGTGTAGAATTTGCCTGAATTTTGCAATGGAAAGCACAAATACTAGTGGTGTGGAATTCCAAGGATATTTTCAGTGTTGTATATATCACCATTTACTATTGTGTGTTTGGAAATTTGAAGATTTTGTTGTTTTTACCATGAAATTATAGGTTGCAAGATAATATGCTTTATTCCCTGAAATACCTCTCTTCTTTGGCCAAGAGCTCAGTTTCCTGGAAGTGTACTTAATATCCTCTTTTCAAATCTAGGCAAGGGTCATTCAATTTACAAAATATTCTGATCCTCTAGTCTCATGGAAACTGTCAGAGGAACAAAAACCATCTTGTGATCTTAGCTAAGAAAGGCATCCCTTAAGATTTAGTAATAGGGCCCTGTCATATGTTTACAAACATAGAATACCTATCTGTAAATAGCAGTAATCAATTCATTACAAATCCACAATAGCAGTTCTACATTTTAGAGATTTTAAAATAGATTTCAAAATGGAATTTTTGCTACCAAAACCTGACCTAAATTGAAATGAGGCTATTTGTAGTCTTTCTCCTTCTTAAAGTGAATATTTATACATTTCACTATAGAAATATTAATTTGATTGTAGGTTGCTATCCGACCTCTCTGAGGATATTATATAATATACAACGTATGTAGGACAGAACCTTCTAAGACCTAAAATTCTGAGTTACAAGATACTTCAGATCTGAAAAAGTTTGGTAAAGGGACTGTATGTCTGTGTTTGTCAGTTAAGGTCTTTTCTACTAATTATGGATTTTGTTAATGTTTTCAAAGAAGCAACTTTTGGCTTTTAAAATTCTATTTGTTTGACTTCTAATCTTTGTTATTTTCTTCATTCTGCTGTGGGTTTAATTTGGTTAACCTGTTCTGGCTTCTTAAGGTCATAAGGTGGAAAATTTTATAATTAATTTTTAAATCAATCATCTAATATAAGCACCTTAAAAGGTATAAATTTCCTTGTAAGCAGCTTTGGCTGCATCCTACACATTTTGATGTGTTGTGTTTCCACTATCATTTCTTTTAAAATGTTTTAAATTCTTCTCATGATTTCTTCTTTGATTCATGGGGTTTTTTTGAAGCCTAAAAATGTGTTTTCTCAGATGACTGGTTACTGGTTTCTAAATTAATTCTATTATTGTTGGAGGACATACATTGTAATCTTTTTAAATGAGACTTATTTTATGTGTATTATTCAGATATGATGTATAGCATTCTCAAATTTGGTCAAAGTGATTACAGTGTTGTGTAAGTCAGATCTATATCCTTATTAAACTTTTTGTCTAACTTTTTTATAATTTACTGAGAGAAGGGAATTAAATTTTATTCCTTTTCACTGCAGATTTTAATGTGTCTCCTTTTTGAAGTATATCTCTGGTAAACAGGCTGTAGTTGGGCCTTGCTATTTTATCTAGTTTTTCTGTCCTTTAATTAGAGTGTTTCATTTATATTTAATACAATTATTGGTATGGTTGAGTATGGGTTTACTGTTTTGTTACTTGTTTCCTGTTTATTTGTTCATTTATTGGTCTTCTGTACCTCCTTTCTATCCCTTTTTTAGGTTAAGGTGTGTGTGTGTGTGTGTGTGTTCACTCTAATATTACTCTGTTGAATTCTCAGCAGTACCTCTTGGCATTATTTTGTGGTTGCTTGAGGAATTACAACATAGATCTCAATATGTAACATTCTACTTAGAGTTAATACTGTAGCACTTCAAAAAATATATAAGAGCCTGGCTGGTGTGGCTCGGTAGTTGAGTGTCAATCCATGCACCAGGAGGTCGCCGGTTCAATTCCTGGTCAGGGCACATGCCCAGGTTGTGGGCCCAATCCCCACTGGGGGGCATGCAGGAGACAGCTAATCAGTGTTCTCTCTCATCGATGTCTCTAGCTCTCTCCCTCTCTCTATAAAATCAATAAAGAAAAATAACTTTAAAAATCCCTCACTGGCCTGCTCCATCCCACCAGAATGTTCTGTAACCATTCTGTATTCTCCACCTACCTGTTAAATTACTTAACAGGTAGGTAGAGAACCTCTCCACTCTCGCGCATCAGAAACTCTGCTGCCTCTGAATGACTGTTCGGGTCTCCGATAAAGCCGCAGCTTCCCAGGCATCGTTCCGTGTATCGCCAGGTTTTGAGATGTCTCTCCCTGTGCTTGTATAGCACATTATTTCACCAATGACTGAAGGAGACCCTTTTGGAGACTTCTGGTGCTCCTTCTCTGCTTGGCTCCTTTCCTGCAACTAACCCTGCTCCACAAACTCCAGCCATGTCAGCAACCAGGAGCTTCAGCCTAATTCCTGTCTCTGAGAATACTGAGCACGCCTTGGTTCTGTCTTTCAAGCCTCGGTGGAAGGTGCCTCCCAGCCAGAAAATCGGGAGTCATGGGTCTCGCCGTGGGTGTTTTCGCTTTCTCGGGGATTACACTCTTGTGCAGTCAGTTGGCTAAGGTCTGAAAACAGTTGCCTGAGATCATTTGTCTAGTATAATAATTATTTAGTTTGGGAAGGCTAATCCACTACTATCATGGAAGCAAAAGTCTTTTTTTTTTTTAAAGAGAGAGAGACATCAATTGATTGCTTCCTGCACGCACCCCAACCAGGGGTGGGGATCAAGGCTGTAACCCAGGTATGTACATGCCCTTGACCAGAATCGAACCCACCACCCTTTGGTGCACAGGCTGATACCCTAACCAGTGAACCACACGGACCAGGGCAGAATTCTTTTCTACTTATTTTAAAAGGCAAACTGAGTGCAAAACACCCGTTGAGTCCTGTGCCTTTGTCTGACAGTACTTTTTAAATTGCAAAAGGAATGGCCAACCTTTTTTTCTTATTTGTTTTATTTTATTTTTTCTTCCTTTTGTAAAAAGTATGGATCTTGCACAATAAGCAGCTTTTGGCCAGGTGATGTCATTCATGAATATGGCACTTAGATACCCATGCACAAGACCAGCTCTTATTAGGGAACTTGCATTCTCATAAGAGAAACAGACATAAATAAAATACTCAGTATTTTCTTAAACACACATATATAAAAAAACATCGGTTTGAACTGTGCAGATCCACTTAGATATGGTGTGTATTTTTTTTTTTTTTAAGAGGGAGAGAGAGAAATATCTATCGGCTGCCTCCTGCACGCCCCCTACTGGGGATCAAGCCTGCACCCTGACCAGGAATTGAATCGGGACCTCTCAGTCCATGGGACAATGGTCAATCCATGGAGCCACACCGGCCAGGCTGGACTCCCCCCCCCCCCAATAAATACCTACCGTTATTTTCAATCTGCACCTAGAATGTTTTTATTGATTTTTAGAGAAAGGAAGGGAGAAAGAGAGAAAACATCAATCGGCTGCCTCCCATAACCCCTGACAGGGAATCAAACCCACAACCTTTTGGTGTATGGGTCAACACTCCAAGCAACTGAGCCACCTGGTGAGGGTGTACTGTTTTTGACCTGCGGTTGGGAATTCACAGGTGTGGAGGACCAACTGTATGAGTTGACCTGTGCCATTTTACACACGGAACTTGTGCCTCCACCGAGTTCGTCTCAGTAGGGGTCCTAGTACCAGTCCCCTTTGGATATCGGATAGTTAAGTTCTGGGGAGTCAAAAGTTATACTCAGATTTGTTACTGCATGGGGGGTTGGTATCCCTAATCCCTGCAATTCAAGGGTCATCTTTATATTAGAATATTTATAATGATAGACATATGCGAATGTTTTTAGTTGTAGCATAAAGGAGGGAAGACTGTTTTGGGAACAGGGTCAGGGAAATATGAAGAAAGCATTGTAGGTTCCAGGAATAAACACCAAAATATAGCTGTGCAGAGGACCAGGCCACATGAAGAATTAGTGCAGAGACTTACATGTCCTCTCTGTAGCTTGTCAGGGAGAGCCAAATTATCCAAAGGGAGCTGCATTTCCAAGTCATAGTAGCACCGTTTGTACCAGGCGAAAAGGCTATTTTAAAAATGTTTGTTTGAGATCCTTGCAGACAGTATTTAAATGATATAGAAGGAAATCCTCATTTTGACATTACCTTATAGATCTTCTAGAAATACGGTCTTGAGTCAGACTGCCTTGGGGTTATACCCCAGCCCCTGCCTAGCTGTGTGGCTTTGGGCAAGGTACTTAATTTTTGGACTCCACAGTCAAATGGAGGATACTATCTCCTTCATAGCTTTTCTGTGAATTGCAGATGTTGGCACACGTATACGTGGAGCCATGCCTGATGTGTGGTATGTGCCATTATTGATTATTAGAACTGGAAGCAGAGCTGTGGGTCAGTGACTGGTAAACCTGTGGTGAGCTCTGGTTCTGAACCGAGGAGCGGCGTGTTTTCTAAGCACCAAGAAGTCCCTGTTCACAGGCGCATGTGGTACTTATCAACGGAGTTACTCTAAAAAGTGCAGCAAATGTGTAGCACACTTTTCTGTGTTCTGTATTTGTTCAGATGTTGAGCGTTATTAGTCAAACCAAACAAGTTAGTTCCCATGAATTTTGGACAGTGGAAAGTTTTTGTAATACTGAGATACAATGAATATGTTTAACAACTCAGGAATTTGGGATTACTCAAATCCTATCCGGATGAGCTCCTCACCCCGTAAGGTTTCTTTGGGCAATCTTGACTTAAAAGCAAAGCTTTGTTACTGGCTTGGGCTTTGGCCCCAAATAGCCTTCCCATGGGCCTCGAGGCGCCTGATTCAAATCTTACTGATCCTTGGGGGATACCAGCAACAGCAAGTGTTGGGAGTCAGGCCCGAGAGGTGCAAGCCTTTTCTGATAACATTTTTTTTTTCTCTCCCTGCAAGTGAGATGACAGTATCATTAGAGAGAACCAAAGGCCTGGATATTGAGCCACTTGAATTAACAAGAAATAAAATTGAGGAAACCTTGACCTCTAGAGGAGGTGAAGCTCAGTTCCTGTGGTCCCGTTGCCCTCTGTCCTGCAGGAGAGATGGGCAGTTTCCAGCACTTCGCTCGGGGCCACAGTCCTCGGGGTGGAGCTTTCGGAGTGGTTGAAGTCACAGGACTCGGAGAGGGGGACTTACCTCGTCAGGCTTCTCCTCCAGCAGGGTTTGTCCTTCACCCTGAGAAGGATTTTGAGTGGGGAATCCCAGGAGACCTCACTCTGTTAAGCTCCTTCTGCATTTTTGCTAGTGAGTGGGATCTCCTCCTCTGGTCTGAGTGGTGCACTTCAAGATTTGGCCTTTGGATAAAAACAGAGAACAGGGAGTCTGGCTGCCCGAATATAGCTCATGGAGTTCCCCAGTGTACCACCCTAGCTCATTCGTTTTCCATCGGGGTTGGGGGACAAAAATCAGCAGTGTTCTTTGTCTCTCTGTAGACACTGGTTAGGGCTCCTCAGGGAGGTAACCTGGTCAAATCCATCAAAATACACACCAGCGATCCCAGTATTAAGTGTGGGCCACCACAGGTTGGCTATTAAGGAAAATTCAAACATGTTACTACAGTACAAACACCAACAGTCTCATCATTTGTAGATAGGAAAATTGAAATTCCTAAATTGGTAGGAACTGCTTATCATTCTGAATCCATTTTCTTAGAACACTTTTATCAGTGGTGATGAAATCCCCAGCCCAGTGCCCATAACCCTTAAAATATCTGAATTATTGTAATAATAGGAACACTGCAGTTATCCCGAATCCCATCTTTTAACTCAGGCTTAGTTTGGTGAGAAAATTCATGTTGCGCTCCAGTTCAAGGTGCCTACACCGTGTTTCCCACGAGGCTTGCCGGATGTGGGGTGGCCAGAAGGACCGTTATTCAAGTCTTAAGGAAGCGATTCATTATTACGTGAATGGGAGACCCCACTTCCCTACCCAGGCCCACTGTCCCGTACACTGCATGTCCCCTACTCCCTACCCCCAGCACACACACATATCCTACTGTTAGAGCCTCTTTAGAAACACAGGCATCATAACATTGGCAAATTTTCTACTTTCGGTTTGTAAGTGGTGGGGGAATAGGCAATTCCTGTTCTCACTCTAGTCGATAAGATTTATGTCTGGCTTCTCAGGTTAAATTTATGAGTCTGTTTTTTCCTGGGAAATGTTGATACATGTCCAGTGGTTCCATGCTTTTCTGTTACCTACTATATTTAGGTACTTTGTATGTTACGAGGCGACGGGAGGCTGGCAGTAACCGGAATATCAGAGTAAACTATCGTAGCCCAAAGCAGCCACGTTATCTTGAATCTGTTTGCATTTTTTTTAATCATAATTTCCAATTTTATGGCGTCTTCCAAAGAAAACAGAGACTTGAACTTCCAAAATGGCATGTGTCAGTGTTTCCAAGCAACCACAGTGTTCCCTGTAGACAGAAACCTGTCCAATGTTAGCTCCGTGTGGGGAGGGAGAGACCCTGTGGGAGACGTTTTGTTTGCACGGTGACTTGTCCTGCTGCTTCTCCTGGAAGAGAGAAGGAGCAAGGAAGGTGTTCCCAGCTTCTGTGGTCTCCTCCCTCACCAGGCTCCTTAACGGAGTCAGCCAAGGGGAAGCACTGGTGTTTTTAGCCCATTTTTCATGTTCAATGGCCTCAGGCTTTCCAAAATAAAAAGTCTGGGAACTCAAGCCTTCCATCCATAGTCACCGCCCGGCATCCAGTAAATGGGCGTTGCAGGTGCGGAGAGGAAACCCCTGATTCTTTAGGGGGAGAGGGGTCTCGCCGCCCTGGACGCAGAAGGACACTTACGGGGCGGGCCAGGGGCGCTGAACGCGCGCAGACTCCCATCTGGCTTACGGACTGTCCTCTCCAAACCCGCTTGGCTGGATGTTGAGAAGGAGCAGGGGGAAGATACCAGAAGAGACGCTGTAGAGGATGGATTTGCTTGGGAGTCTAACTGATCGCCCCGCGCCTCCCCCAAGTATTCCCTGCGCACCTACATTAACCAAGTCAGATTTCCTTTGGTCTGTGGGGGGTGGGGAGTATTTTTTCCTTCTTTTCAATTGACGTACCTTTTGGAGACTCCATGGATTGTGTACTGCCGTTCCAAAACAATACCCAGCAGAAAAATCAACGGTTTAAACCCTTGAAACAGAGATAGGTCACGATACGGAAACGTTTGGGAAGCACCAGGGCAGTAAGAGCAGGACCTCCGGCGTGGACGGCCGCGCTCACCACCTCTGTTCGCATTCCAGGGAAGGCCTTGAACTCCGTGGGAGACGCCAACCTGCAGTGGGCGGCCATGGCCCTGCCGGCCGTCTTCTCTCTGCTCATCGGCTTTGGCTTGGGAGCCTTATACTGGAAGGTGAGTGTTCTTGTTTGTTTGTTTGTTTGTTTGTTTTTTGTCTCTTGTTCAGAGACTTTCTGAACTTTATAGATTTATTTGTTCTTCCTATATTTATATAAATGACTAACAAAATGCCCTTTTCTGAGAAAGGCTCTCAACCAAGAAAATGATAAAATAGCTGAAGTTCAACCTTAACTTCGTCTCCACAAAATTGAAATCTGGGAGAGGGAGCGCCCCTTTACCTGTTGTGCTTTGGAGACAGCTCCTCTGGCTGAGAATGCACCCTTGGGAAATGACAACTGGTTTTTAATAGCTTTAACAAAATAGAAAATGATAGAAAATATGCTGAAAATCTTATGAGGTACTGAAAGCCAAATAGAAATGTCATTTGTATCATCAGCTACTTTGGATTTCTATTCTTTTGCTCTCTCTCTCTTTTTATTAATGACTTTCTAAACCCCTCATTACACCTCCCAGGGTGTTCCATTAATAATGAAAATAATGAACTAATAATTGAATAACCCTTACAAAAGGTTTTTGTGATATAAAAACAAATTTAAGCATTTCTCTGTATAAATTAATATATAAAAGGAAAAAACACTGACAGTATAATGTACCAACTGTTAATAAAGATTATCAACCAATATTGGGTTTCTGTTGCTTTTAAAAAATGTTTTCTTTATACTATCTGTAGTTTTGTTGTATTGAGGTAAAATGGACATAATGTACAATGAACCATTTCAATGTGTACAGTTTTTTGCTCTTTTCTTATTGAAAGAATTTTGAAAATGTGCTAAACTTTTGAAATGTGCTAAATCATTATGACTCAGCTTTTTGAAATGTCTTTTGAATTTGATTACTATTTATATCTTTCGGTTTCTTTATCACATTTCTGCCTCCAACATCCTAAAAATGTCGAGTCGATAATATCATGCATTTCTTATTGGAAAAATATTTTACATGCTGAAGAAAACTGTTAATAGAATTACTAACACTCACCTCTTAAATATTATATGATTCATTGACATTTTTGTGATATATATATATATCATTGTTCTTTTCCCAGAAGAAACAACCAAATCTTACAAGGACAGTTGAAAATATACAGATTAATGAAGAGGATAATGAGATAAGGTATTTTGTTTTACTAAATGTGTGCACAAGTAAGCTTGACCTTGTCATTTCACGTACCATCTACATGCTCATAATATTGTAAGAAGCTGTTCACTCTTATAATAGTAGCTCGCAACCAGTCTCTGTCCAAGTCTCTGTCCACACTTCCAGTCTCTCTCTCTCTTCAAGCCTACATCTCCATTTACCTGTAGAGTACCTTCATGACCCTCAGGGTATCAGAAGCGGTCCTCACTACTTTATCCTGTAAGCAGAAGCATGCTCAGACTGCTGGCCCTGGAGCTCGGTAGGCACCTTGGCTGCTTCTTCTTCTCCACACTGCTACCAAGACATGCCGATTCCTCTCTTAAGTTCCCCACAGGCTTCGCTCTTTCTTTGGCCATAGTGATTATCTTCATCCAAATCTTGATTTTGTTTTGGTTCAGTTGCTGCCCTGCTATGGTGTCTGTCTTTTCCTTAGCCCCACCGACCTCTACCTTTGTCTCATTCTTCCTTAAACTTGGGTTCATCATATCACTTCCTAGTCAAGATACTTGATGTGATTTTTCTCTTGCATGCATAATATGTTTGACTTCACTCTAGTTTTTAGGGCCTGTAACCTTTCCCAATCTATTCAATATTTTCTCCAAAGCCAAATATGAAAAGTGTTTTATGATACCTTTCCATTTACTTTAGCTGACCCTGATCACTTTTTTATACTTTGATTTTATATTCGGTTATAATTTTCATTTGTCATGCTACTTTCTCTCAGATCATACCTATGTATGTATGTATTCACATGTGAAGTGCATATAAGCATTTTTAGTGTGTGTGTATGCATAGAGAATTTTTACATCTACTTGAGGAGACTATGTTGAGGCAGATAAAGTCTTCCCTCTTCCTACAGTAATACTTATGAAGGTAAACTTTCTTCTCAACTTTGCAACCTTCTGTTATTGTATTTACAGAAAAAAACAAATCTGCCTTTTATAATGCTCAGCTCATGGTATACTTCAGATTTTCTGCCCAAATGCAAATAAGCATTTTTCTTGTTGTTTTTCAGTATGTTGCAAGAAAAAGAGAGAGAGTTTCAAGAAGTGTAATTGTGGCTTGTATCAACACTGTTACTTTCGTACATTGGTAAGTTTTTAGGATTCAAGCTGAAAGATTTAATAAGAGCTATACAGCACCTTAGTGGCCAGAAGTTAGAAACAAAATGTATTGTCTTCTGTTAAGCTGATGTCAGTATGTTAACTGAAAATGTTACGTAATTGAACTGTGCATTTCAAATCCATTGTTAGAGTCTCAAGTTTTGAAAGGCAAATTAGTGTTAGTCCTGGCAAGTGGATTCATCTAGTATGGGAGATACATAAAAAATAAACAGTTCAGTGTTTACTGTTTTTGAGGCCAGAGAATAAATTACACAAGGTGAATAAATTAGGACTGAAATAAAATATTATGAATAGAGGAAAAAGAAATAAAATCAATTTCAATTAGGGGTAACATAATAGAAAAAGCATTTCATTGGTTAAATGCTGAAATGAATGAAAACCAAAAACATTTCCCTACCATTTTAAGGAAAAGGAGAAAAGGTCAAAATATCTTTGTCAGGAGAGGAAAATTATCAAGGTAAAGTGCCCTATGACTGGTAATCATTGTGCCTCATCAAAGCCCAGTACACACTGATGACAGATACCTGCTGTAACTGTGTGGTCTGCGGAGAACTTAGGGGGGTTGGGGGGGACGGACAACGAGAAACATGTTCACGTCTCCTCTCCCAGTTCCCAAACTTCAGATACTGTTGGGGGAGCACCTTCAATGGCACTAACCTGGCCCAACATCGATTCACGCTTTTCTGACTTTCACTTGTGCTAACTGGCTCTTCCCTGTGTTGTTCCCACGGGATCCTGAGCACGTTTATTCTGGTGGGGTACGAGTGGTCTCACGTACTCCTGAGTTCTTCCCATCCTCTCTCACGATCAGAGGATCACTTACTCTCCTCGATGACACAGATATAGTCGGTGGTGATCTTGGCCTTTTCCTCACAGCTCACTGCCCTTCCAACTTCCACTTCTGTCTCAGAGTCCGACCTCTGGCCCAGAATCTGACTTTTATCTCTAGATTGAAACGTCACCAGGAAAACTGGGTCCCAGAGCCTTTTGCCTCCTCCGGGAGTGCTCGCTTTTATAGTTACAGAATGTAATTTTCAACAGTCCAAAATGGCATGATACAGTAATAATGGGCTCGCATACCTCTCTAACACTTTAACCCGGCTACTACACAGACTTCATTTTTTTGCCTTTAATCGTGCCCTTGATCACTGTGTCCAAAGCATGAATCCTAGCTTTTCTCTAGGCTCGTTTTTCCTGTCAAATGATATAAATGAATACAGTACATCCTTCGTTCAACTCTTTATTTTCTGGAGTCATCTTCCCCAAAGTGAAATCATTGTTTGTTTTCCTAGAAACCTGTTTCTCTGCCCCTCGATCCCATCCACCAATCACACAGTAAATGGTTAATTGAGTCTTCAGAGCTCAAGTCCTGTCCTCTGTTGTTTGGTTTTGGATTGCGTGGCTGGGATCCTTTTGGCACACAGGTCTTTAATCATGTGGTTTTTAATTGTAGTATTTGCCCTGAGACATTTGGAGAGTTGATTATGCGATGGGGAAACCCAAGGCACTTGTTTAAGAGGGAAAAAAGATGGCATTTAAAGCAATTGTAGTCAAGCAACTGATGCATATGTCTACTGGTCGGGGAACATTCAGGGACAGGAACTGAGTCTGTCTGGTTCTTGCTGTATCTCCTCGCTTGTTGCCTGTGCGTTGTAGGCTCTCGGTAAATGTGTGTTGAACGAACAACTGAGTGAATGGATAAACCCTAAATGAAAGTTGACAAAGTAGTAAGAAAATAGATCTGCTGTATGACATTATGCCTACAGTTAATGATGCTCTACTGTGTACCTGAGTGTGTTGAGGGTAGATCTCACATTATGTGTTCTTGCCTCAATAAAATGCAATCTTTTAAAAAGTAAAATAGGGCCCAGTGTGGCTCAGTGGTTGAGCAGCGACCATGCACCAAGAGGTTGCTGGTTCGATCCCCAGTGGGGGGTGTGCAGGAGGCAGCCAATCGATGTTCTCTCATCAATGTTTCTGTCTCTCTCTCCCTCCCCTTTCCTTTCTCTCTCTAAAAATAAAGAAAAAAAAATTTAAGTTAAATAGGGTTTATGTTTACCTTGTATGCATGCGTGTGTTTAATTTGCTGATTTTGGTCACTAGAACAATAAAGTATGACAGCAAGGGGGAATATATTCATATGGGAAATGACTAATCTATTTTTCTAAAATGTAAACTGTTGTCCCTGCATAAAACAAATCAAAGTAGACAGGTTGGGGGAAAAAAAAAAAAAGAATCCCTGAATTTTTAAGAAATAAACTTATCACATATCAAGTAGTCGGTATAAAATAAGGACATGGGATTTCCTTTATAAAGTACCTTTCCCATCATCTCTGCAAAGCTCTCTCAAGACTCAGCTCAGATACCACAACCTCCAAAAAACTGACTGCCCAAATGAAAGTAATCTCTCTTTATGGCCCTGTATGTTTCACATTACATTTCATATGACATGAGATATTAATATATTAGTAGGACATCACAGTTACTAACATAGACATTGTGTGTCCTCTTCTAAATGATAAGTTTGAAGAAGGCAGGGCTTGTTTCTGAATTCCATTTTGGAATTCCACCAAACTCTTTAGCTTATACTTTGTGCATGTAAGTGTTGAAGAAATATTTGTTCAGTAAATGAATGGAGGGATGAATAAGTATCTCAGAGTCCTGCAATAATGTGAGAACAAACGGAGACTTATGTATGTAGAAGTAAATAAGTCAAATGCTGAAGACAGGAAAAAGGAAGAACCAAGAAGCAGCTCGTTATCATGAATCTGCAGACTACAAAGTCAAAATGTGTATGATTTGTAATCATTTACTGTGTATCCGCTGTATAGAGTAAAGCGTTTTGCTTGGCCTAAACCAATGCAAATTTAAAACTTCCAAGGAACTGTCAGTATAATTTGGGGGCAAGGACGTAGTGCTGGGAATGGTCTGGGAGAGCACCTGTGACATGGTAGAAGAAATCTGCTGAAAACTAAGAATAACAGTAGTAAACAAGTACTGAGATAGGCATGAAATGGTGAGTTGTAATTATATATTTTAAAAATTAGACATAATTTGGATTATATTCATCTTCTTGGTTAACAAGAAAGGGGGAAATGCAAGGGGAATGACTTAGACGTACCTCGCCTGAAATGGAAGTTTCATTAAATAAAACAAATTAAATCAAGACAAATACTGAAACCCTAGAACAGAAAACAATGGAATAGTTAGTTCTCCAAAGGAAATAATCTACAATTAAAAAATGAAAAGGAGAGTTTGATATTTTAAACATAAGAAGTGAACATGGAAGGAATGTAAGATAATGAACTAGAAACAAGAGAAATTGCCTCTAAGAGAAAATATACTAAAGCTTGTGTTTATTTGACATCAAACATGAAAAAGATCTATAAGAAAGGTTAAAGATTCACTTGGTCCATTAGCTGATGCCAAGTATCCATATGTAGCATTCCACAAAACTTTTTCATCTATTGGGTTGCATATAGCACAGTTTAAGAGAAAGAAATAAAATAGAACATACAGCCCTGGCTGGTTAGAGCATCGGCCTGCGGCCCAGAGAGACCCAGGTTCAGTTCCTGACTTACCTCAGTTGCAGTTTGTCCCCAGCCCTGGTTGGGTTGTGTAGGAGGCAGCCACTTGATGTGTCCCTTTCACGTTGATGTTTCTCTCTCTCCCTCTCTTCTTCTCTCTCCCTCCCACTCTATCTGAACAAAAAATGGGAAAATGTCCTTGGGTGAGGATAAATAAAATAGAACATACAGTAGGTGCATTATTGGATGCAAAGCTTAATATAACCTAGTTGTATCCTCAAATCGCTTATAGCCTACAAAAGGAAATAGGACATGTGCACAGTAACCTATTTTTAAAAGGAAATTAGAAGTTTACGAAGTTTAAAAAGTAACTAAAGGAGCCAACGAGGAAAACGCAGTAAGAGATCCAAGGCAAGGCCATTGCCTATGGTTGTACATGACGTGCCCGCAGCATAGCTCTCGACATTGGTCTAGGCGGCATGCCTCAGGGTGGTACTCTGCAGTCCCACATACATTGCTTTATTTGAAGGGAGAGAAACATCAGTAGTAACAGGAGAAAGGCTTCATTGTGTGGGTAATGGAGGTGGCATTGGCATTGAGCTAGATGGTAAATGATTGGTACAATTTTCTTAGCACTAGAGAAGGGGTGCTCTGGACACTGCAAATGACAGACACTAAGTCTGAGAGGCCCGAAGCAGTCTGTGCTCCAGAGTCAGTCTGTTCTGTTGGCCTCCAGCGGAAGTCACACAGAGAGTTCAAATGCGAGAAGAATGCGGGGATCAGTGTGAACATTTCCAGGTGTGGGACTTATACGCTATTGAGTAACATAAGGAGCTGGTGGAGGGTTCAGAAAGAATGCGAGCGATGCAATCAAAGCAGAGTTTTAGTCAAGTTCATCAGATGTGAGTGAGGCCAGGTAAATGGGAGTGGTAAGCTCGAGTCGGAGTGCACTTAGGAGGCCGACCTACTGAACAGATGTGGGGGAATGATGACCTGGGCCAGGGCCACAGAGACCGGAAGGCATGGACCACTTCGGGGACACTGCAGTAAAAGAATCAGCACGTCCTAGGCACTGATGGGGTGTGGGGCTCCACATTGCAGGGAATACTTAGGGGTGATCGGGAGCCTTAGACTATCCAGATGGTGGTGCTGTTCAAAGAAAGTAGAAGGAGCTGTTAGTCAGCATTGACCTGTGGCCAAATATCGTTAGACTGGAATTCAGAGAACAGTCAGGGCTGCAAATAATAGATTTGGGACTTGGGAGTCAGCTACAAAGAATTTTAATTGAGACCTTGGTAGGACTGCAAAGTCACCCAGAAGGCCCAGTTTGGTTGGCAGTAGTAACTAGCATGAGCTTGCTGACACTCGGTTAGCAGTGTTTATTGATTTACCCCAGCATGGTAAGAGTAGAAAGTAGTTCTTATCAGGAGGCTGGAGGAGA